CACTCATACGTCGAGGCCGACGGGAGAGTCGAGTGTATATATATATATATATATATATATATATATATATATATATATATATATATATATATATATATATATATCCGTGCATATCCGTGCGTATGTGTATAGATAGGAGGTTTTCATGCAAACAATTTTGATTAAAAAGAACCGAAAAGTTCTGTGTGTTTAATCTTTTAAAATTTTTAAATATGTTTTGTGTATTGGGATCTGAATTGTGGAGGAATTGTTTGAAGTATATTTTGGTCTTTCTTTGCTTACTTTTCGCTGTCACGGTCATTTTTATGTGATTAGTGAGGTGTCTGTGGGCCAAGTATCATATCCGTTTTGATTAAAAAGCTGACTGATTGAAATAATTTACAATGACATTATGTGTATCTGTTTTTGGAACAGTGTCCTCAACGTAAAGGATGCGTTTTTTTTATTATTCATAAACGATAGAACCAATCAAATACAGAAACCTAGACTTCCTGGGTAAGACAATAAACTACATCCGGTTGCAAGACCTACGATCAGGAGGTTTTGACGAGCGTGAAACACCCTCTTAATTGCTGGTGTACCCAGGGCCACCCTGACCCCGGATCTTTACAGGATCTGGTAGGGTCCTAACTATGGTCAAATAGCTAACTCCAAACTGGAGTCAAAACACAATGAAAGTGTAAAAATAGGTTTTAATGCCAGTAATAAATTTTTGACTAAAAATTATTATCAGCAATAAATTATTACCAGCAATACATTTTTGAAGAAAAACAAAATATTACCAGTAATACATTACTGGAAAAAATATTACCAGCAATAAAAATCTTGTCGGCATTAAAAAACCCATTGAGGTTGATATACCGTAAACCAAACCAAATCAAACCAGAAACCTGGTATACATAGGGTTTGAACAGGAGTTATCCTTCTTCTTTTTAGCTGTTTTCTACTCAGGTTTATAGGACCATGTCTGTCCTGCGATATACCTTGAAAATGATACTGATTGAAAACACTGGAGTTCTTTGTAGATCAGATTTCCGGAAACATCTAGTTATAAAAGAAGCCTTGTACATCAAACAGCTGTCACCCACCATCAACCTTACCTTGTTTAATAGTGGTAACGGAGTGGTAAGTGCCTTTTAAAAATAAAAAAAAAAGTCGCCAACTCGAATTCCATCCATGCCCAACACACGATGCAGAACAGATTACTCTACCTTGCCTACACACGCGCGTGCGCACACATTTTATTTTATGCAGTTTTTTTTTATTTTGCATAATAACATATTCTTGGATTTTCAGTCTTTCCTTGCATTGAGTGCTATAGGGTATTTGTGTTATCTTCTAATGTTTGTCTGATGTTGGTAGTTTTATTTTTGGCGTTCCTGTGTGCACGGAATGTTTCAGCACTTGAAAATCAGCAAGAGAATGTCCTTCATGTGTGCCCGATGTAAGAATTTATTGTTTTTTATTATTAATATTGGATATGCAATCTCCCAGAGAGGATTAAAATTCATAAACCACATTAGTTTTACACAAGTGCGGTTAATATCAGGTGCTGCTTTTAGTAATTCTTAGTAATGCTTCGATCAGAGGCTTTAAATTTCAATGACATCAGTTGTTAACTGATACAAGTAATGGCTTGTGAAATCTAACGCCTTCAAAACGAGACTACTATCTTTCAATTATCAGCAAGGATCATTTTTGCGCTACATCATCATGGCTGATGCTAAATCCACGGCTGCTTACTCAATGCATATTCTTGATTTAACATTTTCGTCTGAGATGACGTTGAGTAATTATATTAATAGCTAAGTCTGCTACTTGAATATAACCTTCATCACAGGTGAGATTATCTTGAAATACTATGAAAGCCCTGTTGTGGTAGGCAATTCCCTTCGTCCTAATTCAACTTGAACATTTCGAAATGTACCGTACGTCCGTGCATTGTATACTGGCTGTCATATGTGGTCTGATCCCATTGCCGTATATCACGAGATTCTCGAACAAACATACGTAATGCTATCGCTGCTGAGGTAAAGGTGGTAATGGAGCTGCTGATGTAAAGAGGGTAACGGAGCTGCTGAGGTAAAAGTGGTAACGGTGCTGCTGAGGTAAAAGTGGTAACAGTGCTGCTGAATCCTTGAATATGTTATTATACAAAATAAACAAACTACATAAAATAAAATGTGTGCGCATGCGTGTGTGTGGGCACGGTGGAGTAATGGATAGCAGCTCAGACTAAAGTATCGAAGAGCCGTGTTCGAATACTAGTTTAGTTTTTTATATTCACATATGTCTATACGCAAATGCCTCTCCGTTCTGCATCGTGTGTTGGGCATGGCTGGAATTCGAGTTGGCGACTTTCTATTTTTAAAAGACTTTTGACACTCCGTTACCACATTTACCTGAGGAGCTCGGTTACCACTTTTACCTCAGTAGCTCCGTTACCACTTTTACCTGATCAGCTCCGTTACCACTTTTACCTCAGTAGCTCCGTTGCCCCTTTTACCTGATCAGCTCCGTTACCACTTTTACCTCAGTATCTCCGTTACCACTTTTACACGAGCAGCTCCGTTACCACTTTTACCTCAGTAGCTCCGTTACCACTTTTACCTGATCAGCTCCGTTACCACTTTTTTACCTCAGTAGCTCCGTTACCCCTTTTACCTGATCAGCTCCGTTACCACTTTTACCTCAGTAGCTCCGTTACCACTTTTACACGAGCAGCTCCGTTACCACTTTTTTACCTCAGTAGCTCCGTTACCACTTTTACACGAGCAGCTCCGTTACCACTTTTACCTCAGTAGCTCCGTTACAACTTTTACCTGATCAGCTCCGTTACCACTTTTACGTCAGTAGCTCCGTTACCACTTTTACACGAGCAGCTCCGTTACCACTTTTACCTGAGCAGCTCCGTTACCACTTTTACCTGATCAGCACCGTTACCACTTTTACCTCAGCAGCTCCGTTACCACTTTTACACGAGCATCTCCGTTACCACTTTTACCTCAGTAGCTCCGTTACCACTTTTACCTGATCATCACCGTTACCACATTTACCTCAACGGCTCCGTTACCACTTTTACCTGATCAGCACCGTTATTTTTTACCAGCAGCTTTACCCTCGAGCATCTCCGTTACCATTTTTTACCTCAGTAGCTCCGTTACCACTTTTACACGAGCATCTCCGTTACCACTTTTACATTCAGTAGCTCCGTTACCACTTTTACACGAGCATCTCCGTTACCACTTTTACCTCAGCAGCTCCGTTACCACTTTTACACGAGCAGCTCCGTTACCACTTTTACCTCAGTAGCTCCGTTACCACGTTTACCTGGTCAGCACCGTTACCACTTTCACCTGAGCAGCTCTGTTACCACTTTTACCTGAGCAGCTCTGTTACCCTTTTACCTGAGCAGCTCCGTTACCGCTTTTACCTGAGCAGCTCTGTTACCACTTTTTCAGCACCTGTTACCACTTTTACCTCAGTAGCTCTGTTACCACTTTTACCTGAGCAGCTCCGTTACCGCTTTTATCTGAGCAGCTCCGTTACCACTTTTACCTCAATAGTTCCGTCACCACTTTTACCTGAGCAGCGATAGCATGACGTATGTTTAAATCTCGGATTTAGTCTCTATCCTACTGCTGTGGCATAGGTTCCGTCTAGTGACATAGGTTTTTATCTAGCTTTTCTATAAATATTTTCGTGGCAATGATCTTTCCTCTTTGGTTCTTTGACCGAATCTAATTGTCCTATTATACTGTCACTATTAGAATTGAACTTTGGGTTAACATCTAGCGAGATATCATCGTTTTTCCCTTGACCTAACTAGATGTATCCCAGAATTCAATTGTAATAGTTTCTTTTCTCGAATTTCACTCTTGAGGAATATCTTTTCCGCGTCCCTGCCAGGTATAATCTTCAAAAATATAAATGCGCCGTCGATAGCCATCGTCCGTCTTCCTGAATTGTATTCTTTTCTTGTGCTAACAACTTCTAATTCTCTGTCATGCTCAGTAACAACATTTGGCGTAGTGGCTTTATTGCCTTTGTTTGAAGTGAAATGACAAAAGTAAAAATAAACTTAGATCTACAAATCTCTACAAAGCCTCTCTTTATTACAAAGCATCACATCCTTACAAATAGTATTTGATCTCATTATTATAAATAACATTGGCCTTGTGGTAACTACCACCACCATTACATACGCACAGTACATAGAAATCATGCGACAAGCATTCATTGGTTGATCTCCTCAAAACTAGCTCGCTGATTGGTCAATTCCGACCAATCAGACATCCTGCACGCGACAAATGAAATTTCCCGCTCACTAAGGTTGAGACGGTCAGGTGATACCCAGCCTTATATAAACAAAACACGTGTAAGCTCTCTCTCTCTCTCTTCGTTTTCTCATTCATCTTTCTCCTTGCTGCCAAGATGTAATCTTCAAAAGCTCCCGTATTGACCATGAAATCAGACGTTAAAGAACATTACCATTTCACGCAAGTACGAACTCTAAAATCTTTTCTGAACTCTTACCAAGGTTTACAACTCACATGTCCTTACATACTAAAAGAACTTCATTCTTCTATGCCACAGTTTAATAATTACTTTATCTTAATGAGTTCAGGTACAAATATTTCCAAATCTAAGAGACATAACTCATTCAAACCTTCAGCCTATATGGATGTACATCAACACTAATAAATTCAATTATGTTTTGAATCATTACATTCTGTTTTATATTTTATACTATGTGCTATTTTACGTCAAATATAAATTGCCTTGTGCACGCCACATTAGATAGTAACCTACAGCGTCAAAGTTAAATATATGTAGTACCACACGCCTACAGTCTCAACAATCGTGACGTAATCCTGACGTAACTCTGACGTAATAATGATGACCAACCCTACATTTTTTGTGTATGACCCTGTGATTACATTGTCTTGCTTCTCACGAACATTCTGATTTAAGAAAAAATCTCGTATAAATTGTCGGTTGGGAAACAAACCTTTATTATAAAAAAATTGTGATTAAGTAATCAAAAACATAGATCTTCAGCATATATCAGCTGAGGTTTTAGTAAAATTAACCCCAAATCTGAAGTAGCCGCGTAAATAGACTTAATCAACAATTGTGTCTTGTTACATTTTAAAATTATTATGGACTCTACTGTACTTTATCGTCAATAAGATAATGTTGTTAGAATATGTGTGGGTTTATGTATGTATATACCTATTTATGTATATATATATATATATATATATATATATATATATATATATATATATATATATATGTGTGTGTGTGTGTGTGTGTGTATGCGTATGTTTATGTCTCCGTTTGATTGGGTTTTATATATATATATATATGCGTGTGTTTCTATATGTATTTGTATATATGTATGTTTAAGTTTATATATGTACATATATACATACATATATTTGTGTATGTGTATATGTATGTGTGTATATGTATGCGTGTGTATGCATGTATATATATATTTATATTTGTTTTGTTTAATTTTTTATGTTGCTGTGTAGGTTGATATATTTATGCTTGCTTCTGTACGCGTATATATGCATATGCGTATGCGCGTGTGTATATGTTTATATATATATATATATATATATATATATTTGTATGTGTGTATGCGTGTATATGTATATATGTGTATATATGTTTGTGTATAGGTTGGCTTTTTTGTACTTCTGTCTGTAGTGATGAATGTGCGTACACTGTACACATATATTTGTTGGTAGTTCTTATTTTCTTTCACCTTATCTACAATATGGTGTATATAGACATATATGAAATATATATTCATATATATATTTGTGTGTTTGGAATTTTCGTTTTTTATATATTAGATGGTGTTATTTTTATACGTATATATCTGTTTTAGTCTCCTTTCTTTCCCCATTGTTTGTTTCTCTGTTCTATTAGACCATTTTTATATATGTTTATTTGTCCGTATCAGTTACATTTTAATAAGTGGTTAGAATTCGTTTAATAACACCTTCAATCTTGAATATTTCTTGTGTGTTGCATCGGAGTGTCTATGTCAATGTATGTGGGTATATGTCCGTGTCTTTATCGGTGTCTATGTATATAGTAACTTGCGTGCACTTTTCATTGTGTATGTGTGTGGTTTTAAATTTTTTTGGTAAAAGGTCGTGCAAATATTTCCTGTCTCATCATTTTTTTGTGTGTGTACATATCTAAATATGTCTGCGTGCTTATGTATTATAATCTGATTGTGTATGTATTGTCTTTCGCAAGATGTCATAATCCCATGCCTACACTTGTATCCATTGTTTTCATTAAGTTAAGAGCAGTCGATCTTAACGTTTATTCCAACGTAATTTCAATAGAAACAAAATAAATAGAATAACATATGTATATTTTTCCTCAATAATTTTAAAATTTTAAACTTAATAGAGATTAAATTTACATTTTAAAATGGGTAGTTTTTAATTTTAATTTCAAATTTTATCGTACAATTTAATACTTATAGTTAGAATAAATTCTATTTTAGTATAACCCCAACGTTAAAGCATTTAATAGTTACTATAAACTTACCTCGTTGTCAAGTTTTACGAATTCTCGTATACTTGTATTTTGATTGGTCATTCCAGCTCATGTAACAGCATTTTCCCTTACGAGGGGTGGTTAATTAATTTGAACCTTTTAAAATCTTTATTCTATCATCTACATTCAACATCATCACTTGATAAGACAACAGAGGTGTGGAAAAAAAATGGCTATTCTTGTAGTGATTTTATAACATATTTATGTTATAATTTTTAAATAAATAATTATATTCGCTCTAATCAGTATTGAGCACTCTTTTAAAAGTAGTAATTTTTGGTTATTGAAATTTATTCCGTATAAACCAATCCTACAGTTGTATATATATATATATATATATATATATATATATATATATATATATATTAAATTAAATAGAGCTAAAACTGCTAACGTATTTTTTATTATAATGTAGATTTTTTAAATACTATACAACTTTATATATTTTGTGTTTCGTGTCTTGTGTCCTTCATCAGGCGGAGAATGGTTATTTACACATATTATTTGAAGGATTTATTTTTTCGAGTCTATATTAAATCTTTTAACGATTGTCTTTTGTAGTTAGTAGTGGTCATATGAAAGCAAGTTGAGTCCATCCGAAAAAAATGTTCCTTCTGTTGAGGGAGAAATAAAAGAAATAGAGATGGTTAAATAAAGGGAAATAAATGAGGACCTCTTTATGCTTATACAAGCATACACACAGAGACACACAGATACACACAGACACAGAAGCACACACACAGAGACACACGCACAAACATATATATTAATAAATAAACATATACCTCCGTTAGAGTGCGACTTAAGTTTCGTTGGTTACCCAACTCTTTAGGCTCAAGAATATATATATATATATATATATATATATATATATATATATATATATATATATATATATATGTATGTTTGTGTGTGGACATGTGTGTGTATATATATATATATGATAATCATATATATATATTTATCATATCATGATTATCATATATATATCATATACATGATATATATATATATATATATATATTATCGTATATATATTTTATCATATATATATATATATATATATATATATATCTTATATAGATTATTTTTTAACGTATGCTGTTTGTATTGGTTAAAGTACTCAATATCAGGGATAAAACGTAAGTAAATATAAAAGTGGACAGTGAAGTAAACACCAATATGATTGCGTGCTCGTGTGTGTGTTTGTTTGTGTGTGTGTGGGCGCACGTATGTGTGTGTGTGTGAGTCTGCGTATGCGCCCGTTCGCGTGTACGTGTTCGAGAGAGCGGGTATGTGTTCGGGAGAGCGTGTATGTATGGGTGTGTATGTATTTGTTTGTGTGTCTGCGCGCACGTCTCTCTCTCTCTCTCTCTCTCTCTGTGTCTGTGTGTGAATGTGTGTGTGTGTGTGTGTGTGTGTGTGTGTGTGCCAGCGTATATGATTTTTGAAAAACGATATAAAGATAAAGTATAAAAATCGGTACGGATAAATTTTAGAATTTAGCTCCAGAGTGAGGCTGAAAGTTGATTTCCTATCATTTGACCGAGTACCGGCGTTGTGCATTTATAAATCCATTTTTAATGATATTATACAACATGACGACAAATAAACATGAAAAGCTCCTCGGATCCACTTAAGAGTTTGTATATTTAAAGCTGTTGTGGCGTCTGAACGCCGAAGCTTTTGGCGCCAAAATACCACCAAAATAAGTTTCAGGAAACGTTCTCAACAAATCAAGCAACAAATTTAGTTTTTTGTCAAAGTCATTTTTCTTTTCTTCTTGTTTTTTTTTCTTCATCAGACATGTCCATCAGATTAGCACATTGAATGGTTCCATATATATATTTTAAAATGAAACAGTCTTCGTTATTTACCAAATTTTTTGTAAAAAATCGACATATGCATATATCCCGATAGGCAATCTGGATAGTCATTCTTATTAACTACACACCGACACACATACACTCTCACACACAAATAAACACATGCACACACACATATGTG